TGAAACAAAATTAAGCGTTGCCCGGGGCCTTCGTGATGGCACACATATAGGACTGTGTTTCGGTTTGATGCTTGTGAGCGAGCCTGACTCGGATACAGCGGTGTGGCCGGTAAACGTCACCCTAGTCAAGTCTAACTTGTCTGTTTGCGTCTCTAGGGCGAGGGGATCTGTTTAAATGGGTCGCGGTGGTGCCTAACTGTTTGTCCGAGCCATGTTTGGGGCACTTAGATTTCAACTCTTTGGACCGGTTTGCACAGAGGATAGCAGCGTATCGGTCGTGTCGGTTTCTTTTCTGGCACTCGAGGCAACGTGGGGTGTTCACTCCATCCCGCAAGACTCGATGTCAGCTGCGTCTAGCGTCCTCTTCCCCTGCGTACCGCCGTCCTGTGTGTCGTCTACAGCATGATGAGATGAAGACCGCGCTAGCCAATATGGCCCTGGCTCCGGTGCTTTCACCGGCCAAGCACTACGCCACCGCTCTCGGCGGCTCCGGGACCCCTTCTCTCTGGACGCAAGTACCGTGGCACGACGTCTTCGGCTGCTCGGAGTATCTTTTTTATGACATGGCGAGTTGGGCATGTGCTGAGAGCGTTTCCGAGCCGAATTTTGGCGTGATTGTTCTGTTTTGTCCCTCCGAATATGCAGGCTCCTGGCCCGGTTTGAGTTCCAATGTTCGCCTTCTCTACCTTAGTTCCCTGGCATTTGGTTGCTGCGACTCGTATTGCACGTGTGGTTTTTGACACGGTTGCTCCGCCTCGTCGAGACATGTGTAGTCCGGGTTGTCTCGGCCTCCGGGTGACTTGATAGAAGCAGATCCAAGTCACTTTGGGGAGATCGCCGCACTGCTCACTATCGCCTTCAGACTTGGAGTTAAACTATTCGTGGAACATAGCCTTCGCCCGAAATCAAAGCTGCTCCTTCCCGATGTTGTCTTCAGGCAAATTGTACTGTAGCACAACGGACGTGGTGTCGTTATTAGGTCTCCAGTGCTTTGATGTACTTTGTGCCCGGTTGTTCGGTCGTTTGGCGAGGTTATCGTTTGGGTCATCCATCCCACCCTTCTCCCCCGTGGATGAAACTGGTCGCCGGTCATTCTCCCCCTCGCCAAGGAGTTTCTGGACGAGATTGGCGCGCAGCTCGCGTCAGCGGTTAGCGTCTACTGGCAATCCCAGGGAGGGGATGACTCCGAGTCCGACGAGGATGACTGCACCGAAGACCCACCGGGCTTCAACACCCGTCGCACCATCCGGGAGCTGATCAAGACGAAGGGAAAGCTTCCCCCGGGCGGCGGCGACAAGCACCACAAGGCCTTCCTCGCGCGGTAAGACTCCCTCGCTCGAACCTTGTTGCCTCTGTACACTTTTCGTAGTCTGTTGTTGAGCAAGTGCGTGTTGACGCTCGTGGTGGCGGAGGGTTATCACGAGGTAGTTTTTGAGTCGTGTATGTCCTGAGCCTACATCCAAGGGTGCAGCGGTGCAGCAACCGCGGACTTGTCCTTCCGCAACTAGATTTTTCGGCTCAGCATTCTTACCGCTGACTCTTCTTTGGTTGCCTCGCCCAACCCATATGCATCACAGGTTTAAGGTCGTTATGCTCGACTTAGTCCAGGAAGCTCGGGGCGAACTGCCGGCAGCTAACAAATGCTCGCTGGAAGTCACCGAGGAATTGTTTTTTCCTTACAACTACACCGACGGCGTTCTGGGTGGCGGTGACGCTGGCGGTAACGCTGGCGCTGGCGCTGGCGCTGGCGCTGGCGCTGACGCTGACGCTGGCGCTGGCGCTGGCGCTGACGCTGACGCTGACGCTGGCGGTGGCGGCGTCGACGAGGAGAGCAGCGACGGAGAGGAGAGCAGCGATAAAGGGTCCGTCCAGAACGACCAGGAAAACGCCGACACCGAGTCGGAGTACGAAGAAGGGACGGGTGCCGGCGACACTGAGACGGAGGACCGGAAGATTCATCTAGGCGAGAACCGATGTTGTCTTGTGCAGTGCATCCTGTTCGTTCAACTTGTTCTTCCACAGTGGCGGTAGAAAGATACGTAGGGTGTCTCGAGGTATCTCAAGGCTAGGAGGTTGGGTATGTGCATTCGTTGGCGATTATCTGCTTCGCAACGACCTTTAGTTCAGTGTATTCCAACTCTTCAATTTCGCGAGACAAGAATAATCCTTTGGAGCTTTTGGGTGGCTGACGACACCAGTTATTGACAGTACTGTACCCTTTAGTATGCTACATATGTAACACATTTCCGAGTATGTTTGAACTTCCCGAGTTCTTTGGTAGCCCAAGGCCAAGCCCTTAATCGACACTTTTGTTCACGGTGATCGGCCGACCGTCTTTAAAACCCTGTCGTTTCTACTCAAAACCAAATGGGCCGATCGATGACACCGTCCCCGGTTTGCTTGTTTTGAACTGCCTGTATGTTTTTCAGTCACGTGAGGGAAGAGTTAACGTCAGCGCGACAACGGCGTGGCGAACATCTTCTTCACAAGCCCGGCGAGACGACCGGCGTGTGTTTCTTCGGTTCTCTGGCATCGGTCTGGCGCTACCGTGGCGGCACTTTTTTTCGACGGGTGGGGAAGGGGAGCATGTATACGCCCTATGCTTTTTGTGTTTTCGGTCAATATCCAGACTATATCGTATGTGCGGACGGAATGGGTGTTGACGATGGCCTGCGCCGTTGCTTGTTTGCGTTGCGGAAAGTCCAATTGTTCGGGTGGTACAGGTTGGTCGGGATTTTGTGTGGAGCCTGGGTGAGTTGGGGAAAAGTGGGCCAGGGAGGGCGGCTGGGGGGGGGGGGGGCTCCATCATTAAGGTTGTTAACGGTTGTTGAAAGCTTCAACCTCGGGCGGTGACTTGAAGCCCGCGTTAGCGACCGCCGTTTTTTTCGATTCGCTGACATCTGTGACGTGCTCACACGTCGTCGAAGGGGCACGATTGAGGTCGTTCTGTCAAGGCCAACTGCTGTGTTTTTTTTTTTTTCTTGGGTAGTCGGTCAATCCTCCGGACCGTATAGTATATGCGGAGCAGTTTCTACGGGGGCGTGTTTCCTCACTCGTACCGACTTTAGTACAATGAACTTTTGCTCTTCTCTTGGCTTCCTTGGTGCAATTGCTTGTTTGTGCGGGAGGTCGAGAAGTGGTGAGCCGGTCGAAAAACTTGTGTGGAGCCCGCTCATGGCTGTGTGGGGCTAGGTATGCATGTTATTTTTTTTTGTACGTCATCACGGTTCTTTGTTCGGGAAGCCGCGGCCATCTTGTCCGCCCTCGTTCCGCCGTAATTATCTCGCGGTACACGTACAAGCTATTTTGCGTCGTGCGTACCCTAAACGAAGCACGGGCCACGATTGTGGTTGCTGGGACCTTGGTTTGAGGCGTCGTTTATTTGTGTCTGCAGAATAGGCTGTTGTATAGTTTGTTTTTTGCCGGGGTGTCATGCACTCACAACGGTGTTGACGCACGGGAACCTGCATATGTGCAACTACGCGCTAACGCATTAACGACCGACGAATCAATACAAAAGAACACAAACCTGGTACTTGTTATCCGGCTGCGAACGTTTGTACCGAGGGGCAGAACAACGTTGCATGATGAGAGGGCACAATCTGGCGACGTTGTGAGCCAAGGCTTACTCTAACCCACGAGGTTATGCTGTGTGTGCTTACCTGACCCGGCCAGGTTATGCCACCGGGGTAAGCAACCTGACCAGGTTATGCCACCGGGGTCAGCAACCTGGGACGTTGTATTAACTGAAAATAGAGTGCGTTTTTTTTCGGCACTGTACAATGGTGCATATAATGTGCACCTGGGCCACCTGTGACCGCATGTTTCACCGAACCCTGCTTTTGCCAACAAAGGGTGCTGATCACCGTGTCCGCGACTGCGTTGATCGGCACCATAGGATATCGACAAGTGTCTCCGAATACTATCGCTTTCTGCCAAAAGCATCAACAAGCCGAGCTACAAACCTATTGCGTTCGCCAATTCCTACCGATAGGCCCTAAAACCCACCTTATCGCCGGCGATCGGTCCTATTCTTAGCCTTATCATCCAAGGTATAAGGAGCTTGGTCCACAGCAGCACACCACCATCACACATATTCCCCCAGAGATTCCTCATGAACTGAAAGACTTACCGACTTACTTGTTGTTGAGACGGGCCGGTTCGAGCTCGTCCTTGGGGACCATCACTCCGAGGCAATGGTGGATTGGCACTTGCTCTACCAGCCTGAAAGAGGAGGCGGTGTAGATGACGAACGTTTTCGTGAAGCCGAGCATGTTGTGGCGGACCTTGTCGGAGTTGTAGATCATCTTGACCTGGTCGACCTTGTCCAACGTGTCTTGACGTTGTGGATGGAACAGTTCGAGTACCCATACGGCGGCTGGTAGTCGAGGATAGCCGATTTAACATCGGCTGGTATGTCGCTGGGAACGTGCAGTTTGTGTACATCCGTCTCCCGCTCGGCGGTTCGCGTTTCGATGCTACCACTACCACCACTACCGCTACTACTTCCACCACCCCCGCCGTCATTCGGCAGATAGTTGTTCATCGAGGTCTGTGTGTGGTGCCCACTCAATGGACGTGGCGTGCGCTGGGTGCCGGAGGATGCGCCAGCATGCTGGGCATCATCGGGATCGGCCATGGTGGCGTAATGTGTGGTGATGGGTAGAGGGCGCGAGGGCGCGTGATCTGATCGCCAGCTCGGCAAACATGTAATCGGTAATCGGGTGATCGTTCGGCGAAATTCACCGCACTTCGTTGATTGTCGGCGCTTTTTTGTTATCTTGGAATCTTGACTTTTTCTAATCGCGGTCGGCGAAACTTTTCTTTGGGATGCATGTTTCCGGTTATCCCATCGCGGTCGGCGAATAGTTCCGAATCTTTGTGTCGGAGGTTGGCCCCGATCCGATTTGAAGCTTTGCATAACGATCGGTTCCCCAGGACGATATGCTGGCGAACAATTTGTCGATAGCTATCATGTGATTCGATAAGATTAAGCCATTGGCAATCGATATATGTCTTCTTACAAGAAGGGTCGTTACAAACACATATCGATAACAATCATACACAACGATAGGCAAATGATCACGTATACCATAGGTTTGCCTAACCAATAGGCTGTCTGTAGAACTTATCGATAACTATTACGCGCGACGATAGGTTTTGGCAGAAACTATCGCCGTCCTTCGAAGGCCGTACACAGGTGTGGGAAATTCCTGCCGCTGCTCATCAACGTGGACCAACATACTGACCCTTACCCTATCAAACCCTATCAAACGGTACCGATAAGACAACACCGCGACAAGAACTTATCCCTATCTAGATAAGTTTTGACTTATCATCCATGGTTTAAACTTCAACTTTTTTCTTTTTTCTTGTTTTCCTTCTTTTTTTTCTCTTTTTGTAGACACACCGACCGGTTTCTAGTCAGTGAGTTTACTTTACTACGCGATTCTACCCACGAGACCCAAACCTGGACCAATGTACTGCTCTTGCTTCCCTACTACAAATGCATGAATTGGTCCCAAAAAAGCTGGCAGGCGTTCAACGTGCTGCCGAGACGTCACCCAGTACGTCGCACACCTCATATCTCGGCGCACGTGACACTCCCTGGACATCAAATCTAGGGTATGGCTGCATGGTGCTAATGCCGTCCTCAATGGCACGCACGACTCCGGCAGCATTGAAGTCATGCGCATAGATGAGAAATCACAGCAGTGCACCACCGATCATAACGCTCTTAGACTCGCGAGGTTGGCGAGAAGACCAATATTCAGGCAGACAATTAGCCCATGCCCCCCGCGTTTGCTCTTGCTCTGCGATGAGACTTGCTACATGGGTGCCTACCGTGGGTCGGGCGCCACCGACGTCGCCGCACCCCAATTACACCCCATGACTCAGACTACTTGAGACATGAATCCGGCCATACACCCATCCATCGACAGTTGGTCTTACCCTGGTTTTGGACGGAGAAAGAGGGGGGGGGGAGGTACCCCAGAGGCTGCGCAGTCATGACACTCATGTCGCAAGGCTCTAAGCCCGACGTCTCCCACTACCGGTGAAGGTGAAAATTGTTGCGTGACATCAAACTCACGGTTATGCAAACAAGAATAGTCTCAGATTTTGTATCTCAACGCCTGGTACTGTGGTCTCCACATGATGTTCCTCCCGCGTCTTTGAGGTCTCCCGAACCAACGCTTGATCTTACTCTTCACGTGACCACCACACTGTACGATTCGAAATAACCAATATCACTACCCCTTTTGTTGCATCCACAACTTCAAAACTTGAAGAAAATGAGTAAATGGAACCACTCTGTCCCCCTCCTTTGCACTTTATCGTTAGGGGTTCTCTGGTTGGCCGAGAACCCCTCCCAGGTCCTTGTAGTCAACACTGCGGCCCCGCTTGTGCCCCTTGAGGTACTTTACGATCTCGTCGTGCCCCTGCCGGGCCGCACCCTCGGCTGCCGCCGGTGTGCAACCCTCCTGCCTGTTCTCGAACAGCCACTTCACTACCTGCTGGCGGTGACAGGCGGCAACATGGCGTCGGGGGATGACTTCCGTGTGAGGCCTAACGGGGACGGAGACACCTATGGGGACAACACGCCTGGAGCTGAGGAGTGTAGGGCGCAGATTGCAGAACGTGCAGCGTGATATGTACCGCACTGAATGTGACCGAGGTGGCAGGAATTCCAACCTCGTGTTTCCAGAGGACCAGGCCTTCCATAAGAACGCATGAGAGACCTGTAGACTGAATTACTTCTGGCTAAGGGCTCACGAGATTGCAGAAATCGCAATCCTGATGCTTTCGTGAGCCTAGAGTTCTTTTTTTCGGTCTCCACCGGTAGACCTTGCCTCGCCTCGCAGCAAGACTTGCACCTGCCGATAGCCCTGTGTTGTGACGACTATCCGCCGTGCGGCGCACTCTCGAGGCGGACTGAGTGCGGCGCTAGCGAGGGCAGAAAGTGGCGTTTCCGACCTCAACGATGACTCCGCCAATCACAGCCCGGTTAATCATATGTAGATGGGTATCGCAGCTTGCTTCGGGCAACCGTGCTAGTCCTCTACGAGATTGTCGGGGGGGGGGGGTTAGGTGGTGTAGAGAGCACAGCGAAGAGATGGAAGATTCGCACAAAAAAGAGTGCGAAAAATCTTGTTGCATCCGTACGACAACGGCTAGGGCAAGAAGAAAGCGGTAAGTTGTAGTCTGGATGAACAACGCCGAATACTAATTCTGACGTAAAGGGAACAGGCGAGGATAAGATTTTCTGTGTGCAAACTACTTGTACGCGAGTTGGGTTGTTGCGATATTGGATTTGGAGAACAACAGCTGTGACAACCCGCTTGTCTTGGACTGAGGAAACGCGTGGTTTCCATGTCTTCGCGCGTATCCAGAATGCAAGACTGTTCGGGAAGAGAGATACGCAAGCACGCCTGCACAAATCACTCCTCCCATCCCTCAACCTCTATGCGCGCGCGTATGTACAAGAACAAAATAATGTTTCCCTCGAAACGCGGCGAATAGTCTATCGCGGAGCACACATGTTTCATATTTTCACAATATGACCCAACGAATCCATCTCTATCTAAGAAAAGAGTCTTAACATAGATTAGCAATAATTCATAGTGTCAGAGAAAGCTACCTGTATTTCCTCGGTTTTGCGCGCACGTAAAATAATTTGAAACCGTCGTTTGGCAGCGAAAAAGCTCCCGCGACCCTGTCGTTCGCAGGGTAATAGCGGGGAGCGAGGCAACTTACACACGCGTGAACTGGTCGAGATCGCAGTTACCGTACAATGGATGCATGGATGGATGTGTTCCGACGAAGAAAAGATAGAGTCATCAATCATCAAGCTTGTTTGTTGGTGTGCGTGCAAAATGCGGCGGAACATACTTGCGCGTGCGCATTGCGGTGGAACAGCTGTGACAACCCGCATGCCTTGGCTGATGGATCGCGTGTGTACCACGTCTTCGCACGTGTCCAAAGTGCAAGACTGTTCGTGAAGGAGAGAGAACAACAAGTCCGCCTGCACAAATTACTGCTTCTATCTCTCTATGCGCGCGCGTATGTAAAAGAACAAATAATATTTCCCTCGAAACGCGGCGAATGATCTGTAGCGGGGCACATGTGTCGAGATCAGGATAAACTACAATGGATTGGTGATGTATTTGTTCCGAAATATTTTGTGCGCGCGCGAAAAATAATCTGAAACCGTCGTTTAGCGGGGAACATATTACCTCCTCGTCGGGAGGTTGCAGCGGTGTGGCCCGGACCTCTCGTTGGCAGGCAAAATCGGTAGGCACACAGCTATTACAGCATCGAAGGACTTGTCAATCCAGCTGTAGATTGAACAGGGCTTCAATTTGGTGGAGGATAGGCAACGTTTAGGCACAAATCGATCGAGATCGGAGTAATTTGGTGTCGGCGCTGCATGCTCGTGTTTCGTGCTTGAGAGTGCCGGTCACCGACACAGCCAACTGTCAACGCAGAAGGTGCGGTGGGCTTCTTAAGTGGTGCAGGACGGCCGACGGGGTGATTTCTCGTGTCTCGGGCGTTCGGCTCAAAAAAGTGCGTGGTTCAGGCGTTCGGACTGAAAGTGATCCTTCATTCATTCATCCATTCACATTTTTTTTTACCGTTCCGTGAGACCTCTAGAGACCGTATCGGTCTCTCAGAGGAATTCGGCAAATCTATATAGATTCGGAAGCTGCTGACATGGTGCACCTCACCCTTGCCACACGCGATAACCAAGCAACCACGTCTCCGCATGGCATGACACAAAGCACCCTACTGCTGCAGTGCGTCTCCCTTTCGATCCCAACGACAAGCGGGGGAGGGGGTTGCGGCCTGTGTCGTGCGCACGGCAATCTGCAACCTACACTTCAAGTAGGGGTTATCACGGCTTGGTCGAAAGTAAGCGGTGGTCTCCATGTTGGAACACCATTTCTCGGAACATTCCTTGGGCTGGTGCAGCCCGTGCACAGCAGCAGCGCACAGCAACCTACCTTTTTCTGCCGCGGGTTGCCGCGGCTTAGGCTTACTTATAGCGCTACCTTAGGCTTTGGGTTGGGTTGGTCACCGGGTTCAGTTAGTGATAGGACTATATCCTGTAGGTTTAGAACAGCAGTGCAAAAACACGTGTGTATCTGCACATCGGAACCAGAAACAAATATCTTTTCTCCTCACACGAAAAGACCACTGTACGACATACATATTTCCGATGGTGTTGGGGCGACACATACATCTACGTCCATTTCGGTGCAGGTATCTGCATGCATGCACCTAGCGATAGACGACGTTGTTCTCTTGCGGTGTTGTTTATTTTTCCACATCTGCACCTAATATGTTTTCCTCTCTCTCTGACCTCTGGCCGTCGATATAGAAAACAAACAGAAAACAACGCAAAGCGACACCCGTCCGAGATATACCCACACAGTCGAAGGGGATGTACGTGCTGAAGTTTTTTCAGTGAGTGGAGGGAAATCGGATGGAATCGCTTACTTCATTAATTCATTACGTTTAGTTGTTGCAACAAATAAATGAGCACAAGAACATTCACACAGATAGATAGACTTTCCTCTCCTCTCCTCTCAAAACTCGACCCGCACGCACTCCGCCTCTTCATGACGATGACTCAAGTTGCGGCAGAGAAAATGTGCCCTTTCAATGTCGTCGTCCGTAAATAGATTTCCTTTGCGTATTTCCCTTCTCATATCTCCCCTTATCGGTGCGTCGGTTGTAGTGTTGGCGATTTCGCGAACGGGTGTGCACACATTTTCCTTTACCAGGGCTTTCTTCTTCGTACAATCATAGTTTACACCGAAAGGCCTGTATACCGGCGCCAGAATAGATGGGACGACGAACACAAGCACCCTTCCTCTGCTACGCGCGTCCCGGCGGTAGTGTGGAGGTGCGCTTCTTCGTATTTTTCGGTTTTCGGTACAATGTATGTAGCTTTCGTTGTCATCTCCACACGACATCTATCTGGGGCATTGTCGTACCGATGTTGCCGTCCGTACGCGTCTTCCACATTTGTAAAGCTTGCCGTAAAATACATGCTACGCTTGTTTGTCGCTTGCTGTCTTCTACGCGTACCTCGGGCGTAGAGGTGGCCGATTGTAGAGGAGCGTGCACACCCTTGAACAAGTAGGTTCGTATATTACGAAGGATATCCTTTCACAACAAGACAACACCTACTTCGAAACTCAACCCGCACACACTTGACATCGCCATGCATCCAACCAGCGCAGCGGCGACCGCCGATAGCGGTCGCCCGCGAAGCGCCCTTGTACTGACAAATTACAGACGACTTTACCTCCGTGTGACCGTTGTGCGCGGCGAAATCGACCGCCAGAGTGCTGCATCCCTCGCTGCGGTTTTCGTGCAAGAACTTTAACACCTGTGCCCAACACGAAGGCGGCGGACCAAAAAACGGGGCGACAGCGCACTTTGAAACGCCTACCAAAAATAGGGACAAAGGCAGTGGGCGTTTGTATGGTGCTGCCGTCTTCTGTAGCACACCAACTTGCCTAGAACTGCATCACTGTAGGCTAAGCAACCAATAAATCAAGCAATTCACGGATAAAAATTTCAACGACGCCATTGCATAGGTGGAATGTCAAGCAAAGCAATGTGCTCAAGAGCACCCTCAGAGCACCCTCTGTCCGTATTCATAACGGGGTGTTGGAGTGCTGGATAAACGTCAAGCCGGTAGATACGGCAGCTTACGGCTGTACTTTAATAGCTGGACGTGACGTGATTTCACTGTTGTGCAGACACTCCTAACCCACCGCCACTGCCAAGGGCCGCGGTGGCGTGATATTTTGAGCCTGTACTTTGTGTGCGCCCCCACGTGGAACCTAACTTATCAGCGGAGATCTTCAGTCTGCACATCTGCACATATATTGAACGTTCGCGTTGGCGGAGAGCAGATTGTCTTGCTTTCCAACCGCACCACCAACAAAAACAAAAACATGGCCACCGAAAAATCCTGCGCCAGTACACTAGTCTGCGGGAATACAAACGCCCCACGCTGTACCACAACAAGGCCTGGTTTATAGTTGAGAGTGGTTAACGTGCCCCCATCATAATTGGAAACACAATATCGTGTGGTAAACAAAGTCGGGACTGATCCATCACCCCCGGTGATGGTCGTGGACTACCCTTCTACTTTCAGAAAGGAACTCTGCTGGTTCTCGACAAAGCTCAACGAAAGCACGAACTCATATCAAAAAGTGGCTGGTTTCATAGAAACATGCAAGGAAGACCACTTTTGCCTTGAAAATCCTCCAGATGGCGATCGGAGGATAACACGCAAAATGCCACGAATGTCGAAACGGCACACCACCCCCGAAGAGCGTTGCATATGGTAATTTGGTCGGTGGGAAAACGCGGTCGATTCCAACGCACCAAAAAGAACCACCAAACGAACTCTCAAGGAGTTGTTAACTGCAGAACATTTTGGCTTCTACAAAGTTGGGCTTGCTCCGGCGACCTTGAATTTGGTCCCGCTGTAAGATAAGACGCTGACGTTTGTGCATTGGTCAGCCGGTTGGTGTGGCCGATGCACGTGCAAAGCACACAAAAAGACAAGCTAAGGTAACAAGAGCTGATACAAACTCAGAAAATGTATGATAACTCGTCACAAAAGATCACGTTTCACCTCGAGGTGTCCGTGCCTGCTCGCCATGTCCATCGCCCCTCCAGTGCACCCCTCCTGGCGATTTTCGTGCAGCCACACCAACACCTCCAAATGGCCATTCTTTGCAGCTTCGTCCATTGCCTCCGTCCTAAATAGCGTGTTGAATTGGAGGTCATCCATCAGTTTATTGGCTTGCCAAGGAGATGGAGATGCATTGGCACCTCACCAGAACGGCAAGAAAACAACTACTTCGTATGGTACAAAAATGCCCCAAAGCGTCGCTTACGATGACCTACGAACAGTGCAGGTTTTTCCTCGGCCTGCGCCACAGCCGCCCAGTCGATTTCGATATGTAGCTAATGAGCATCTGACACAACACACAACACCATCGATTGCTCGTCATGAAGCAGCCCGTGAACCAATCCCCCGCAACACCCTAGGCTAGACGTGTAAGAGGTGTTACCATTCAAGGGGAATGGAATCAAGTCTCAACACCCCCATTGCAGGAGGTCCCATGACCAAAACCAAATATTAATATTGCAATAAAACGAAGCCCCTCCCCCGCCCGCTCGATCAATCCAATGAGCCTCGGAGCGGCGACAGGCGCGAAGTTTTTTTCGTTCATCTCAGGAGAGGAAATATCGGTCTGTTCCAACGCGATACAGGGGTCAAACCTTGACCTCCGTGAAGCCTGAACAACCTTCCCCTTCGGTCCAAATAAGACCTATAGAGCACCGATTGACGACCTGCTAACTAGCTCCTGAAGAGGAAGAACTAAAGGAAATTCTTCGTGACACCCGTTTGGTGGTGCTCCGACAGAGACAGATGATAGATGATAGATGATAGACGGCCGTACTACGCAGGCCGTTGCCCCCAAACTTCGTAGGAGACATCTCACCTGGTGCCCGCTCTCTGGCTACACAGCATAGGGGTATTGGCGATGTGCTCTTTCTTGCCGTTGGAAAGTCTCACGGGAATAAGATAGATGGGACTCATTGCTACCGTACCAGCAGCACCACAAGCATAGAGCGGAGTCGAGGCGGTGGGGCTGTTGATGCAGTCGCCACATGAGACTCAGTACGATAGGAATTTAGGTATGTAGGTATGTAGGTATGGCGACTTTCGCCGGGTAGAAATAGGGCGGGGGGGGAGAGAAACAAACAGGCGACGCCGTCTCCTGCAAGTGGAACATCGCACGATATGACATACTGTACGATGACAACCGTTAGGACGGGCTCCGCTTAAACAGAACAAGCAGTGCTCCTGCCCCTTTCCGAACCGCGCTGCCCGACGGGCTCCATTGAGTGTATTCGTGTGTACCAACACTACTGCTGTCCATTAATGCCGGCGGCCGTGCTGCTGGCTGCCGATCGTTTGGCGGTACTGCTGTAAAAGGGCCAATGTGTCACGGCGTGCTCGCTTGTTCCTCCGCCGTTGGTGCAGCATATTACACTTGACACTCCAGCGGGGAGCGGATGCACCAGTCTTGAAGACCCACTCGACTATTTCGGATGCATACGAATAAATTGCGGACGTCTAGGAGCATGTGTGGTTGCCTGCAACCAGCGTGTCTCCCACAGCATCGCAGAAAGACCACCGCAAGGTATTGAGTTGTACGCGGTGGCTTATTGCCTCGACCTACTTGCATCAGCCAATACCCTTCATTGTCACCGGAATATTCGTGCTCCTCCCACAGATCGCCTATTGTTATGCACTCAGCAGAGAAAGGCTTCAGGCATGCCGCTTCCGCACTAACACACACGCTTATGGCTAATAGTTAATAGCCGTTGGCTTCGCTTTCAATCGGAGAAACGCCGTGCCATCGCGAGAGAAAGCGTTTGCTGCTCCAAGTCGCGTTTCGTAGGTGAGAGAACCAAACTCACTCGCCTGGTGCACGATGGTCGTTCCAGCGATGATCGATATAAATCGATAACAATCAAATTGTTGCAAGGGTTTTTGCGGCTGACGTCGCCATGATGAGTGAAGCGAGTCACAAGACGAATGGTAATTAGTAATTAGCGTTGGAATGTTGGGATTGCCGACTTGATTTCGTTGTGTACCGTCGTGTTTACTTTGCATTACATTACAGCACCGAAAAAAAAAGAGCGTTGAAAAGCGCGACCGATCGACAGCGCGGATATTCCAAACTTTCAGACATCTTTCCGGAATGCACGGCACGGAGTACATCATACACTGCGGTCAGCTGGTACGTGTAGTAGTTGTGCCAATGATTCCTGAACGAAACAGAACAAAAACAGGAAGAACCTCAGAAAATAGTCTGGTACTGCTGCTCTGCATATATTTGGATTCGTCCGCGTGGAATTCACCAACACTTCTTGGCGTGGAACGGATGTTGGTGTTGGTCGACAGGCGGCGAGCGTTGGTGTTGAGCTGTGAGGTGGGTGCAGATGACAAAGCTCGGTGAGACCAACGTGCTCGTGCGTGTGTACATACGTACATGTTGGAGGGTACAACCGGAATAAAATAGTTATCGGAGAAATTGGATGGGCACACTGAGCATAACAGCACCCATTTCGTGCCACTTGAAAGACCACACTTTACGACACTCCTCCTGTACATGCTCATGACACCCCCCCTACATACCGATGGGTGTGATGAGAAAGCACCACACTCTTTTATTTAACCTACCACACGGCGGTAAAAAACCACGCACATAGAAGCAAAATTACGGAGTGCGAAGGTTTCGGCGTGCTGAGTGAAAGGGCGCGGCAGGGCGTGCCGCAAGCACTGAAAGCACTGAAAGCGAGCACTGATAAGGGGAGCACGGAGTCCACGAACTGGACGCGCGCCTTCTTCTTGTCAACGGAGGAGGTTTACTAGATCGTTTGGCCGTGGTGGGCAGGCGAGAATGGATAGCAGTAAATACCTCTATAGCTGTCGACGTGGTTGTCAAAGCATATCGTCACCGTGAGGATGGGTGTACATCGACATCATGTACATGTACATGAACATGAACATGAACATGAACATGTGAACATGAACATGTGAACATGAACATATGAACATCAACATCAACATCAACATCAACATCAACATCAACATCAACATCAACATCAACATGAACACACATTGTATCAGTTTTTTGCACCTCACGGCGGCGGCGGCGGCGGCGACGGTAACACTCTTCGTTTGGCAAAGAACAATTGCAGCCAACACGTATCATGTCATGTTGCGAAGTGCGGGATGCGGAGAAGAAAGGTCCGGCAGTCACAAATAAAAGACTGAGTGTTTTTCTAAAAAACGTGTGTGTGTTGGCATGTCGCGGAGCACTCGCGAGTTGAGAACAGGTGTGTTTCTGAGCTGAGAAGTAGAGAGAGAGAGAGAGAGAGACAGACAGACAAAGCGGGAGACAGACAGAGGAAAGCGAGAGCCGTCGCCTGACCTCGTACTCCCTCTGCTGCGGACTGCTCTGTCGGAAAGCGCAGCGTGTGTACACCTGGGAGAGCGGCTATGGAGCGAGCGTGCGTGTGATCGGGGAAACCGGAGAATCGGTAAAACGCCGGAAAGACTTGCCGGAAAGTCGGAAAGAGCCACTGACTCCAAATCCACGTGAAAATGGTGGGAGAAATGGCGGCCTCCTGAGAGCCCGAAAATTCGGATGCTTGCCTGTAAGCGGCCCGCTGGAAATGTGGCGCTTGAAGAATGGACAGCTCCTAGCCGAAACACGAATGGAATAGAAAGAAAATATAGCTCAACCGTCAAAGCTGAATTGAGAGCAAACCTCCGGACGGAACGAATCCGGCGCCAACTCTCAGGCCTGCAGTGATATTCATAGAGAACGCATCACAGGGTCGATTGAGGGTGTTGGATGTTGGATGTTGGATGTTGGATGTTGGACTTGGTTCCCAACTTAGGCCGGGATCGTTGGAAAAATGATAGCTCGTCCCAAATGGACAAATGACCATGGGGGCTCCGTACCAATCACGATTTATATTAATAAAAAAAAAAAAATGTATGTAGAAACGTGTTTTTGTGGGACCGGCAACACATGCGGCAAGCGACAATAAAATATGTTATTTGTGGCATGGCAGAATGCCGTGACATGGCAAGAAAACAGCGGCGGGTAAGCGCCATTATGCACACCATTTACACGAGGCGGGCGGGGAATGCTAGTCAACCTACACTACAAGCCAGTTGCATGTCGCGTGCTGCCACTTTCAACAAGAAGAAAGAGCAAATAAAGAGCAAAGGGACTCACCAACGTGACAGACCTAGCATGTTATCCTGCCAGGCCACATGCGGAAACATCGCTGGATACCAGAATAAAGTTAACGCAGAGCGAGGGCAGCATCGGGGCACTGCAAAGCCTGCAGCAACATACCCCCTCATGATCCACACATGGACTGTTGCTGTTCTAGACACCTCCAATCACATCCAAAACATTAAGTACCAGTCCCACAATCAGCACCGGTCAGGGCATCAAAAGTAGCCGCAACACAATCTATGCCACCACCGCCGGCTGAAAACAAAAAAGAAAACAACAACAACAACTCACGTGCACCCCTCCTTGCGGTGGTCATGAAGCCACTGGACAACCTCTTGGTGCCCATTGGCCGCAGCCAGGTCCATAGCCTGCGTGCTGAACTCCTTCGCCTGCCCAGACTTCAACACGTCAAGTTGTCCCTTTTGAGCAGCCACATCGCCGTCCCTTCACGGAATTTCGAAAAGAGAGGAGCAACGTAACACTTGAGGGGGAAAGCCGCACAAAACCTTGAACGCGCCTGCAAACAACAAGCGTGCAATCAGCACCCATGGGAATAAGAATAGTCGGACTGACTCTCCCGCCTTCCAGGTTCCACCCGCCCCTCCGCACTTGTTCCAATACCCTTTTTTTTCCAGTGTCCTTCCTCTCATGCTGTGTCGTGTGTCAGCATCCGGCCCTATGTGTTGCTACAGTACGTCCCCCTTCTTCCATCCCTCCACTTCTCCGGCCGGTCGCGTTCAAGTGTGTCGTTTCATCTTCACCTCGCCCTCTCTCTCTCTCTCTCTCTCTCTCTCTCTCTCTCTCTCTCTCTCTCTCTCTCTCTCTCTCTCTCTCTCTCTCTCTCTCTCTCTCTCTCTCTCGCTGTCTCTCGCTGTCTCGCTCTGTTGGCGCATAAACACCTGCTCATAACTCTTCATGCCGAGTCTCCTCTTCCTCGACTCCCACTGCATCCATCCCTGTCGGTCGACCTCACCACGAACCGAAGCAATCGCGGGCTTGTTTTCTAGTCTTCATTTTGAGCTAACCACTGTTCTTCTAATTTTTTTGGCCTCCCGGAGTTTTGTCTCTCAAGCCTTGATAAATACTAGCACTAGCAGCTCGACCTTAGTTTCGAATTTGCACAGCTGGAAACTATGTACCACAATAAATTTCTGATATGGTACGTCGTGAGGCCATGGTGCGTCCGCGCATGGCCTACATTCCACATCAGTATATATTGCTTGACCTGGGACCTTCAAAACGCTCACTCACGTTGTTCATCGGTCGCACGGAGCAAAACAAACATTCGGTACTGTATTCCCTTGCACACGACAGAGCGCAATGAATGTTGGTCTTATCATCAAAGGTTAATCAGGTGTTGGCCAATTTAAACGTGTGTTCCGAAAAAAAACACAATTTAGGGTCTAACTTTGGGTCTTCAATACCCCCGTTGGCCTCTGAATTCGAATCGCCGCGATTTGGGGGGTTGCGGTTGCGAAGCGCTGACACCCTTAAAAATACATGGTACATGCATACATTTCCGCACATCGCAGCGGGCGTATGTCTGCAGGCAACCATGCGGACGGACATGCGGCGGGAACCTCTGTACCCTTTCACCTTTCCACCGCCTACTACTGTAGGTGCTACTGTTGTTCTCTCCGCATAGTCTTCTTACAATTTAAGTTTTCTCTGAGAACGCTTCGTTTCGCCTCTTTCGGCTTCTGTGAGCGCTCTATTCCGGTTTTCTCGGGCTCTCACAGAGCAGCATTTCCTCTGGAAATTTGGCACTTTGGTGGACTTTTCATGTTTTGTCTTCCGTTTTTATCTCTCTCGCCTGCTGCTGTCACCCCTCTCTGTACCATCATACCACGCATTCCACTCGAAGTACGGCCCTCTCTTTGTGTGCCTCCTTCTCCTCCGTTCCTCCGTCTCTCCATGTCTCTGACGGTCTGTCTATCCATATTCTCTTTTCATTTTCGCCTTCTCTCTTGACCGCTCTCGCGTCGGAATGGTCTGCTGTTTGTTCCGATTCCGTGTGCTACTGCTGTACATTTTTGTTTGTTCTTGTAACACCTTCACACGGAGTGCACTCACCTCCTATCACCTTGGTACCATATTCTCTCTCTCTCTCCTCTCGGTGTGTGTGTGTGTGTCTGTGTATCCACGTTGTCTTTAAATTTTTGCTTTTCTCTCTTCACCGCTTTCGCGTCGGAATGGTCTGTTGTTTGTTCCGACTCCGGCAACGGTTTTTGTGTGCTCTGGTTCCGATAATCCCTTCTAAAGGTCCGGAAAATACGAAAATACACTCCTTGCTACCCCCACTCTCGATGGCTACCCCGGCCCACTCCTCCCACTCCTCTGTAGCTACTCCGGCTGTAGTCTTGGACTCCATGTCTCGCCGCCATCTCTTCGACGACTCCCCCGCCCGAGCATCCTTTCTTCGTTCATTCGCAGTTCAGCCGACAATTTTGCCTATTTTTTGCAGTTCTGACCCTTCTTTATGGAAACAGAATCTTGCAAATATACCTTGGCATTTTGATCCAAGATGTGCTCACAATATATCTCCACCAAAATTTGCAGTATCGCGATTTATGGGGAGAATATGGTGAATGTTGAAAAAGCGGCGAGTTGTTCCTCTCTTCTGCTAAGAGTTGATAAAGGCACAACGGCCACTTGGTCCACAGAAAATGCCAAGGTGTGGCGAAAAGTGACCATGACGCAGTTGTAGAAGGAGCGTCCCTCCCCCAGCTGTACTGCCTCAACACTATGGGTGGATACTAGCGATGGGCGCCTACCTGGGGTGAAAAATAGAAGCCGTTGCCGACGAGCTCATGTCAAGCGGAGAAGCAAAATTGTTCCATTGCTGTCCAACTGACAAGAAAGTGCATCAACCCGAAGCCGATTACACCCGTGCACTTATCTCACTGTGTAGCAGGCGTACCGAGGTCAAACCTCCGGCTCTGTCATCTGCACTCACGGGTCCGGCTCGGGTGCAAAGGGATTGGGTGTTGGGTGATTCGATGAAGAGATACAAGCGTCGCACACAACAGAGCTGTGTTGGCAAAACGTTCCTCCTGCTCTATTTTTCTACTTCAAAGTTAAGTACTCTTTGAACGGTCCCTCCACAGACTGGTGATGACGCACGTGGAACGAGTCAGGGCAAATACGCATTTTTTTCGCGCGCCTTGGTCGTTTTCGTCCGCTGTCGGCGCCCGTGGCGCCGACACAGTGACGCCAGCGTGCGTTAGAGACCCTTGCGAGTGTGCCACGTGCAGATTTCATGGCGTTATGGGCGATTAGGTTGACTGACCTTCGGTGATCGCGCCGCACTGAGGCAAGATTTCTTACGCCGCCTCAAGATTTGTCGGAAGGCTCGTTTCGACAGATCTTGGGTCAAGATTTGTTCGAAAGGGCAGATTTTGGGCCTCGAGAAATCTTGGCCAAGATATATCGACAAGATGTTGTTCCAACAAATCGTGAAACTGGCAGATCTTGTCCAAGATCAAGATATATCGACAAGATGTTGTTCCCATAAATCGGGGTCTGAGTTCTGGATGTGTATCAGATAATGGAGAGGTACTGGGCACGGCGATGGGAAACAAATAATGCACCTTTACAGCTCCTAAAACCACACACGAACCTCCATCATGGGAACTCCACCTTCACGGAAACTTTAACTGCCATCGGTGCCTACCTTCATTTTGACAACATCCTACACCCACTTTCAGAGAAAACATTGCCTTGGAATCGCTTCAAATAAAGCGGGGGCGCGCAGCGCCCAAAACCTTGTATATGGTATCATTTGCAGGCACAATGTTCCACTTGGGTAAACACACGCCAGGTCGTGTTCACAGGCCAGATCGTGTTCAAGAGGGGGTCTGGCATCACGGGAAGTTTGGTGCAGCAATGCAGCAGTGGCGGCCCGCTTGTAAGAAACACTTATTTTGGGCGAGGCTCAACACTTTATTGCCGAAGCGATATTTGTATGAACGATGAACTAAGATCTTGGTGTAACCAACGGCACACGTAAAAAAACTATCCAGACATAGGCCCCGTGGAGGGGATTTTCGGAACGTTACCATGAAAAGCCCAAAAAAATCGACCCATTTTGCGAACATTGCCGGCTTTCGGACGTTCGTACTGTATCCGAAAATGATACAGCAGAACACATGGCTGCAGCTTGTACGTACTGTACAGTGACACACGAGAGTAAACGCTGGCGATAAGACTTTGGAGCTTGCAAAACTTTATCGCCGGATGTGCTGTCCTGGAAGGGATGCCTTGTGTCACCGGTATGATAAAGTGCACGTCGACGGAGACCGCAACCGGGGTGTGTGATAAAGGAAGGGGCGGGCGATAATCTATGTGCCAACAAATTGCTGTTCTCCATTCCTTGAGTCAAAGGGGTGTGAAAATGAAGAGGGTGTGAAAGAAAATGGGGTCGTCATCGACCCGGTAGAAAACTACAGGGGATGTGTTAAGAATGTATCCGCCTACCATAGGTGACACAAGACACCGCACCCACAGAAGATACAGAAAACCACACCCGTATGATAAATTTTTGCGTCCTGGAAAAAAACATCGATTTATCCCACGGTCACAGAAGATACCACCCCCCTAAGTTGAGCCGCAAATATATATTACGGAGCCCCCTATCACACCGGTATGGTAGGCCGTGATCACGCACATAGCGCACGCCGCAACGCTGCACTCCAGCTATGGTGGCCGACAACACCTCGGAGATGAACGAAGCACACAAAACTGCTCATAGCATCGCGGCTCAGACTCCAGCGGGAGTGCCACGCTCAACTACGTCATTTTTTTCTGTGGCGCCTGAGACTCCCGCAGCACCCGGTGTGCCTGGCACCGCCCGTGCTGCTGACGCCCACACGACACCACCCGCACCCCAGAAACCTTTTGGGAGCACTTCATGACAATAGGTGTAACGTATCCGATGAAAAAAGGTGTAACGTTATCAAACCCCATGATTATCACACCCCTCGTTATCGCACACGCTGTAGGTTGGGTCGTGTGCGGGTGACATTTTCATACCCCATCTTTATTACACCCCCTGGTTACCACACCCCTGTGGGTGGGGTCGTGTAGGCGCAGTTCATTCCATGGGTGACACTATCACACACCCTTTTTAACACACACCCCTGTTACCAAACCCCCTGCGGGGTGGAATCCTCTGAGAGCAGTTTATCACACGGGTTACACAAGATATCACACCCCCTGCAGAGTATTACACCCGTGTGATAACTTTTGGACTTTCAAAAATGTTATCACACGGGTGCGGTATCTTATGCAACCTGCGGTAAACAGATGTTTTTGTTCTTAGCACCAACTGTCATCACGGATAATTCCGTGTAAGGCTTAAACAAACTCAAAATAAGCCCAGTCTCCAGTCGGTTTCAATCCACTTACTGAAAAGAAATCACTACATCCCTTTCGACCGAGGGTAT